GGATCCTCCCACCAAACTCCCCTCACATAATTAAAGGGTTTTGGAGTCTCTGGGAACCTTAAACCCTAAACCCGGAACCCTGAACCCTCAACCCTAAACCCTAAACCCTAAACCCTAGACCCTAAACCCTAAACGCTCATCAGAGAGCTCTACCCGAAGCCTTCGTGGTGTCGCCGAGGCTTCGGCACGGTAATACAGGGGCCTTAAGCATTACCCATACTGTTTTTTTTTGGGGGGGGGCTCCTTATTATAACTATAGTACAATGTAGCCCAAAACCCTGTTCGAATTATTAAGGCCCCTATATTATGCTCCAGCCGACCTCCCAACTCCAAGGGCAACTCGTCAGATCGAGAGCGACAAGCATACGAGAGTGTATACGGCAAGCAGGACTTCAAAGACGGTAATCCTACTCTCCACCTATAGTCTCCATTGTAGTTCCTTTTTGGGGTTACCTTTTAAGATCCTTAATATAGAATTTTAGAACTGGTTAAACCAAAAACAGTAACTACAATGGAGACGATAGCTGCGTTCTTAGGTCAGCAGGGCAGAAGCACCACACTTGCATTGTGTAAGGTTTAGAGTCCAGGCTGGTTCATGTTGCACCCTATTGTGATGCAGGCTGTGTTGTAGAATCGAAGTCCTAAACCTCGGAAGCCCTTAACCGCCCCTAAACCCTAAACCCTACACCAGACACCAAGGCTAGGCTTGACGATCAGGGTCCAAATGACCAGGCTGTACTATAGGGGTCTTAATACTTAGAATCGGGTTTGGGGGCCCATTTTAATATAGTCCTAATAAGCAGCCCCCAAAATAGTATAGGTAATTACTAAGGCCCCTACATTCGCTAGCTAGTTGGGCTTAGGGTCGTAGTTGTATGGACTCGTATTTTGAGGGAGTTCATGATTAGTAAGTACTTGAACCCATGGGACCCATAGGGGTAGGCCTCAATACTCAGGAGGTCGTTGTTCTTCGTAGCATCCCCTAAGCCCTAAAATCCCAGGTATGCCTCCTTTGCGCTCCTGCTTTCATAGCTTTCCTGCAGCCGGCAAGCAGAGGCCATCAAGGAGTCTCAAGCGTGCATTGCACGGCCATGAGGGTATAGTAAAAACAAAACCCTAGACCCCAAACCCTAAACCCTATTATAGGGTTTGGGGTTTCGGGTCTAGGTTCTCTTTTGACATATGCCTGCCTCCCCGGTCTCGAGCTTATATAGTATAAGACAGCCTTGCGGACCCTACTGGAATGCAACCTGCATGGTGCAAAAGCCACATTTTTGCTTACTTGCAGATTTCCGGTTCTGGGGTTTAGGGCTTTCGATGGTCTTTTTGAGGGGAGATTCGGCTTGTCTCACTTCATGTAGCAGGGCCCAGGAGTACTTACTAGCTAACGTTGACCTAAACAAGACGGCCCGTGGCGATTCCTGATTTGGTTCATAGGGGTCTGGGGGTTGAGGCTGGCAGTTCAGGGATTTAGGGGTTGACAGCTAGTGGGTTTTGGTATGTACCTATAGTCTCCATTGTAGTTCCTTTTTGGGGTTACTTTTTAGGATCCTTTATATAGAATTGGTTAAACCAAAAAAAGGAACTACAATGGAGACTGTAGGTAGTTGTGGGTATGGGGTTTAAACTGTTGCAGCTCTAAGCCTATTCGTGCAGTCCCTCTTCCTTAAAGCTGGATTCCTCCGTGTAACGTTCAGTAGGGTTTAGGAAGCTCTAAATGGAAAGTTTCAGTTCCCTAGTCCTTCAAGAGCAAGAATTAGGCTTGCGGGTAGCTCGGGTGGACACCCAGCAGAGCAAGTTTGTTTTTTCTGCCGGGTAGTGTTCAGGAGGATGCTTCCCCTAAACCCTAAACCCTAAACCCTTAAGCCCTAACCCTAAACCCTAAACCCTTAACCCTTAAGCCCTAACCCTGGATCTACAAGTAGGGCGCTTCCCAAGACGCATAGACGAAGCAGAATGCGGTCTCAGCTCCGAAGATGCGCTAGTCCCTCAACCCCCAAACCCCTCCACCCCATAACGCACCCTCGTCCGAAAATTAGATACAACAGTTACAACGGCAAGCCATACTATGAGCTGCGGCAAGTAATTGCTACACGAGTTTCTGCTCTCAAAGCTTCCGGTGCTTGGAACTCGACCTGGAAGTCCCTTCGACATGATATTCTCAAAGAACGATATTGGTCAACTTCAGATGACTAACGAACGCACTCTAAACCGTAAACCCTAAACGCGATGATCATATACCCTACAGCCCTAATTTAAACTCTCAGCCCTAAGCCCTAAACCCTCTGTATGATAGCATACCCTAAACCCCTAAACTCTAAACCCTAAGCCCCAAAACCCTAAACTCTAAACCCTGAAGCCCTAAACCCTAAACCCTAAACCCCTAAACTCTAAACCCTAAACCCTAAACCCCTAAACTCGAAACCCTGAAGCTCCCAAGCCCTAGACTCCTTGGCACTGGCCAGGCTCCGGCGGGCATCCACTCTGCGGAAGATTTCAAGGGCCGTGTGCATTGGCTTTAGGGTTTAGGGTTTAGTGTTTAGGGGTTTAGGGTTTAGGGGTTTACGGTTTAAGGGTTTAGGGTTTAGGGTTTAGGGTTTAGGGGTTTAGGGTTTAGGGTTTTGGGTTCAGGGTTTAGGGTTTAGGGTTTTGGGGTTCAGGGGTTTAGAGGTTTAGGGGTTTGGGTTTAGGGTTTAGGGCTTAGGGCTTAGGGTTTTGGGTTTAGGGACACGGAAATAAAGCCCAAAAAACTAGGTAAAAGAATGACATACGTGCTTGTCATAAAACCTTCAACC